GGAGCTTTTCCTTTCATACGACACCACGACCGAAGCCTCGGTCAAAGCTGGCTGCAAGAAGAAAAGCAAAAGAAGGGACGAGCATGAGGGAGATTAAATACATCTGTAATCCCTGATACCTGTTGGGTTTAGATAGCCACATTCACCAGTAACGAGAACAATTTTACAGGCGTGAAAAGTGCATTTATTCTAAGTTTGAACAGCTGCTGATGAGGATTTCCAGTAAAAACAAAGGCTTTGAGGAGTTTATGGGAAACAGAAGAAGAAAAAAAAGAGTTTTCTGCTGGTAGATGCAACATAATTTAGTTTTTTACTTAAAAATCTGCATACAGCACTGAGATAATTCACTAAAGTTTTCAATTTTGAAAGCTGAATTTCCACCTCCAAGAGTCAGAATCTGTGTCAGGGTCACAGAGCAACATAAGCCTAACCCTATAATGCCAAATGTATCATATCTGATTCATACGGTTTCTGAAGTCTTTTGCATCTGAGACTTTTTGCATCATTCAGTGGTAAAAGCTTTGCTCAAACCCCTGTTGTACACATTCAGATATACCTGATAACAGCCAGTAGAAGACTACACCAAAATATATTTTTGACTTATTGTACGCTAATTTGATCAAAATAATTTCTGTTTTTTTTCTTCATATGTTGTTGAGGGGCCAAAGAAAAGACTTCAGACTAAAAAATCCAATATTCTTCCTATTTTTCTTGGATCAGGCTTTAAAGGGTTAAATACTTTTTTAAAATTTTTATTCAAAAACACCTTTATATCCGCCTAATTTTTGTTCTAAAAACATTTGCCTTCAACTTGGAGGTCCAGCCTGTAGAACGCTTCAAATTTGACTGGGAACGCTTCAAATTTGACTGGGATGAAAACAAAAGTGGGTTATTGTTCTCATGTTTTTCCATAGATTGGATCAGATGTGGCAAAGATTTGACATTTGGAAGTTGGGACAGGAGGAGTCCGGGCTCCCATCGGACGGCGAACCCATGGGGGTTCCCACCAAACCCCATTAACACCCCCCCTCCCCCCGTCCTGCATCAGTGGGCCGACACAAAGGACACACACACAGATCCCGGCTGAAAGAAAAACACGGCCCACCAGACTGACGGATAAAGGACGTCGGATTGGGAATAAAAAACACGGCCATAAACCAGCAGATTATCCCAGTGGCTGGACAGCAGCTATGCTTTCTATCGCGACGCCTCCCGCCCGCAACAGTGTCCAGAAACTTTCAACAAAGTTACAACTTTGGACCATCAGAGCTTCGGAGGGACACAGAAGTCTGTTTAAACCCGTTAAGTGCTGCGTTTCTAAACTTTTTGCCATAAATTTGGGCAAAATTCCAAACTCTGGATAAACCGTGTTCTCAAATTGAAGCTAAAACTTGTGACTACGCTTTTTCTCTTTTTCTTTAGTCTTTATGCGACCCTCTTTCTTTCTTATTCTTGTCCAAGTCTTTTTTTTTTTCAAGGCATTTTGACCATCGGGGCTTCTGAGTGATACAGAAGTCTGTTTAAACCCCGTTAAAAGCAGCATTTCTGGGCTTTTTTCACAAACTTTGGAGAATCGTATCTCCTAAATTCCAAACTCTGTATAAAACCGTGTTCTCTAATTGAAGATCAAACTTATGATGACACTTTTTCTCTTTTTCTTTGAGCATTATTCGTTTGTGTTTCTCTTTTCTTTCTTATTCTTGTCACATTCTTTTTTATTTCTTTATTTTATTTTATTTTTTCATGGCACTTTGGACCATCGGGGCTTCAGAGTGATACACAAGTCTGTTTAAACCCGGTTAAAAGCAGCATTTCTGGGCTTTTTTCACAAAATTTGGAAAATCGTCTCTCCTAAATTCCAAATTCTGTAGAAACCGTGTTCTCAAATTGAAGTTAAAACATATGACCACGCTTTTTCTCTTTTTCTTTAGTCTTTATGCGTTCCTCTTTTCTTTTTTATTCTTGTCCAAGTAATTTTTTTTCTTTTTTTTTCATGGCACTTTGGACCATCGGGGCCTCTGAGTGATACACAAGTCTGTTTAAACCCGGTTAAAAGCAGCATTTCTGGGCTTTTTTCACAAACTTTGGAGAATCGTATCTCCTAAATTCCAAACTCTGTATAAAACCGTGTTCTCTAATTGAAGATCAAACTTATGATGACACTTTTTCTCTTTTTCTTTGAGCATTATTCGTTTGTGTTTCTCTTTTCTTTCTTATTCTTGTCACATTCTTTTTTATTTCTTTATTTTATTTTATTTTTTCATGGCACTTTGGACCATCTGGGCTTCAGAGTGATACACAAGTCTGTTTAAACCCTTTTAAGTGCTGCATTTCTGGGCTTTCTTCCCAAAATTTGGAAAATCGTCTCTCCTAAATTCCAAACTCTGTAGAAACCGTGTTCTCAAATTGAAGCTAAAACTTGTGACGACACTTTTTTCTGTTTTTCTTTAGTCCATATTCATTTGTGTTTCTCTTTTCTTTCTTATTCTTGTCCAAATCTTTTTTCTTTTGTGGCACTTGAATGGCTTCATGATCACTGAGACACTGGAAATCTGAGGAGTTCCTGTGGTTGCTGGAGCTCCAGTTCCTTTGGACTTTAGTTTCTGTAAAAACGGATCCGCTCTGGCTGACTAACGCCAGACAAGTTGTTCTTTCAGGAACGGCTCTCACAGCTGTCCTCGGCCTCCGCCGGATCCTATAAACCTCTTTAAAGCCTCAAAGCTTCTCATGTCGCCCGACAGAGGACGATTTGACCATCCCAGCTAAACAGATCTCACAATTTCTTGTAATATACATCAAAATGTGAAAAAAGGTTGAATTCTCGTGAAAAATAATTGGAAAATATGTTTTAGATGTGCATGTTTGAGGTTTCCCTTGTAAAGAAAAATGTAAAAAATGATAATAAAAACATAAATTTTCACATATTTCTATTAAACTCCTGTTTTTAATGAGTGTGCATCAATTAATGAGACTCTTGAGTTCCACGTCAACAAAAACGACCTCTGCTGATTAAATCATATATTTGATATTTGGTATTTGACCTTATCTTTATAAAAAGCATATTACCGAATCTAAATTATACAAAAACACTTAAGTGAGGACATTCAAATAAACATTCAAAACTAGAATTGGTCTCCAGATGTTAGCTTTCTTTTTTTTTCTTCGTTCACAGAAGCATCATAAAATGGGGTTTAAAAACAGAAAAAGTCTTTGGAATGAAATCCATATTAACTCATAAAAAGACGTCATAAATGAGGGGAAAAAAACTACATGGTGCCACGTGATTCGTTCTGTTGTAAAATACAAAAAATGTGCTTATTTTTCCACCTGCAGGCCTCTGTTGGTCTCTATTTTCTTGTGATGGAAAACAGCTGCCGGACCAATAGGAGGAGTAAAAGCGTGCTGGGTTTGGGAAAAAGGCCTGAAAACCACCTGAGGAAAAGAATCAGCCACTCACCTCCTGCATCCTCTCCTCTTCCTCTCCACCATCAGCACATTCGGACCCCTGGACGTCTGGATTTGCTGTTGGGGAGCCATTAGAGACCATTTCTGCTTCTTTCTCTGGGCTGGAAGGTTCAACGGCATCTTCCTTTGACTCTGAAAAAAAAAAAAAAAAAACGTTTCCATCATTTCTCCCTAAAATGAAGGATATCCAGGATATTTAACTCAATCAATCAATCAATCAAGTTTATTTGTATAGCCCTTTACAATACCCAAATGGTACTCAAAGTGCTTTACAACATAGGGATAAAACAATACAAAAAACATACAAAACATACAGAAACACAACTAAAAATGCTGTAGTGGTGTAGCGCTGCAGGGCATTAAAAGCCTTCCAGAAGTGCGTAGAAAGGAGCAGACAGAAGGAGGAAACCTAAAAGACCCTAGTCCGAATTAAATGCTAATTTAAAAAAGTGTTTTAAAAAGTTTAACTGCCGTTAAACGAGAATCTATGCGTTTTTCTGCCCCTTTTTCAAAGGAAAACATCGAGTTTACCAAGCAGAGGTTTGTCCTCGGCCTCCTCGCCATTCGGAGTTTTGGCGGCCTCTTCTTCTTCGCTGGTGACGGGTTCGGGTTTGATGCTCTCCTTCTTCAGATTCCCAGAGTCTTCCGTCTCCTGCTTGGCTTCCTGAGCCAGAGAGCAAAGCCTACGAACAACACGAAAGAATTAAAAGCTTTAACTCGAGCAAAGGGGACTCACAGAGACCAGAAACCAAGAGTTAAAGATGAGAGAGTCCATCATTATTCATTGATATTCATGAAAAATAATTGGAAAAAATGTTTTAGAAGCTCATCCAGGTGACAGTTTCGGCTCATCTTTGCTATAAACTAACATCCAATTCATAAAGAGATGTTTTGAAAGAATTTTAATGAATGGAGCTCAGAAGAAATTACTTTCAAATCTTTTAGGCTGCGTCCAGAACATGGCCGCCATCTTGAAAGCCGCCTTATTGGATCAAGGGCAAAATTTCCCCAATGGGAAGTGGGTCATGTAGGATATCAAAGAAGAGCAGAATGGCCTCAGAAATCAATACGTATCATTTAAATTTGAAATATCTCCAGGGATTAAAAAGAAACTATAAATCACAGCCAACTTTTACAAAGTCCTGCGACCTTTGACCCCCCGAGTTCGGGTAACCCGAGACGACGGGTCGACTTTATGCTCCGGCCTCTTTTAAGGCTTCCGGCTTAATAGAGTGACCACTTTTAGACCCAGAGAGGCGCGATAAACGTGGCAAGTTTATCACAAAACGATGAAGAATCTTTACAATTCAGAGCTCCTGAGGGCCGACCAGATGTTTACTGCCTGATCACACAGCTGGAATTTGTTCTCAGTGACTCATCTAAGTTGGGAAATCATCTTGTAAATATGCTTCAACGAGATAAACAAATGTGGGATCCATCCAGCATCAACAGCGAAGTGCTCCGAGTCCCGGCTGTTCAGCGACTTCCCGGCGAGCTGATGTCATCCAGTCGGTCTTTTATGTTTAATCCTTATCAGGGTGGCAGGGATTTGCAGCCGAGTCCCAGAATGCACTGGGGCAGAAGGCTTGGCAGCCATTCACGGGGCAACTGGGACCGAGCCGTCGGGTTGGTAAAACTACAAAAAAAGCAACTCAAACATTGAGTTTAGTTTTATTTTTGTTTGTTTCTCCTTTAAAACGGGGCCTCTATTTCCCTAATGGCCCAAATCTAAAACCCTTCATGTAAAACTGACTTAAAACACACTTCACCCAAAGTTTGAACTGATGCATCATGATCTTTAACACATTTAATACATAAACAAATAACAGAGATATTCATTTTGACCAATTAGTGATGATGTCACTGATGAGGGATTAACAAATTCCCACTGTGGAGGCTCAAATCTTATCAGAAAACTGATTTAATCTACATTTAAAGTGCAACATTCACAGTTTTTCTGCAGGTATTGATCAGATTGTGCATCCTGGACACTGATTTGTAAGTGTGTGTAGCTGTGTGTGTAGCTGTGTGCGTCCCACGTTCGACTCACTTCACCCATCCGGTGTAGATGTCCTGTAGGTTGGAGCTCTCCTCTGGTGTTTCCACCTACAAACAAAGAAAAAAGCTCCACATCAGTTTCAAACCCAACTATCAAAGAGGAGGTGCCACATATGACAAATACACCCAACAGAGCTCAGACTGGAGGTTGCTGCTATAGTCCCAGACTCTTGGGAGCTCCCCTCTGCTCTCTTCACCTTATGAAAAATTAAGAAAATTACTTTTTTTTATTGTTGTTTTTTTTTTTATCAGCCAAGAAAAAAATCTGAAACAGAATAAGACCCAACACGGATCCCTGAGGTATCCCACAAGGCGGATATCACTTCCTTTAACACTAAAAGATCTCTAAAATAAATTTAACCATTTTCAAATGACCAAATTGATCTCAAAGAGGTGTTAGAAAAATGCGGCCAACAGCATCCAATAAAACCACAAAAAAGTCAAAGTGACATCAGAAGAATACAAAACCAGGCGGCTAAAATCCAAGAAATAATTAAGATGCTTTGTTAGTTTTTGCCTAAAATCGGACCCAAAATGGAGGGCGTGGCACTCGGCGACACAAAGAAAAGGCTGTTGTGATTCTGCCAGCAGCTTTTGATATTTTTAGCCAAAGGTTTGAGACTGAAATGTGAAACTTGTGGCTCAACAACGCTCAGGTTTCCCGAAGGCAAACGGTGGAAGCAGCACATTCTTCGAGCGTGCACGTGCAGGAAAAAGTAAAGCAGAGGTGGAGTTACGAAGGAAAACGAGTCTCAGTGGTTACAGGCTGATTCTGGAAATCTCTGAGGATTCAAACCAGCCTGAACTGCTCAGATTTAATGAACCACAGACAGAAATTCAGTCTATACATAAAGGGAAGGTCTTTGGTGAAACATGTCAGGTCGTTAAATGAGGATTTTTCATGAATAACTACAGTGTTGTAGTCTGGAAAGGAAAGTTTGCTATTTGAACGTTGTGTTCTGACATTTTGTGCATCACTAACAATCCACAAAATAAAAATATTCTAATCAACCATGATATGAAACAAAAAAATACATATTATAGAAATATTATATTATTAGAAAAACTGATTATCCAATAGACAAACCCTAAATCGCCCCATTTAATCACATTTCTGCTTGTTTAAATATGCTATGTTTAAAAAGAAACAACACTTTTGGATGTTAATTTACATTTTCCATCACTTAATCAGTCAATCAATCAAACTACTGCTGGCATGGGGATGGATTTAATCGATAACTGTTAGATAAAAGCAGAGGTTGTGTGTTGTGTGTCTGTGTGCAGCAGCAGGCCTCCAGCAGGGCTGTTTTCACACAGCCATGCAGCTCCTGTAACATTATGTTCTTTTCCTCCAGGAGGCCTGAACAAGGATCCACACACACTGTGACACACAGACACACACACACACACGCAAAAAACACACACACTGTGACACACACTGAGGATCAGCTCTGACACAAACAAACGTCCCATTTAAATTTAACGCGAGTTATTACATAACAAGCTAAAGCCCCATTTCCCCTTTGAAACAGCGAGAAAATCAGCTTTTGTTCCTGTGGAGAAATCAAACCAAAACAACCGAACTGAGCCAAACTGAGACACCCAGATTGGGTGAGTAATATCGGGCTGCAATAATAAAGGATTGAGGGGTAACTCCTGACCTGAGTTAGGTGCTTTTCCAGGAGCTTGGCGGCCTTTTTGAAGCCGTGCACCTTGAGGTGCTGGTAGATTAGGACCAGCAGCGCGTCGTCCTCCCGCGTGCCCATGCTGTCCGAGCCACTGCACGCGCGAGAGGGCCAATGTTTTTGACGGGTTATGCACACTTCAGCTCATGCCTGCTATCCGGGGTGCGCACATGTGCGGTGGAGACTCCCCCCTCGCGGTGCACTCTGGGAAGTGGAGTTTTTTTTCCTCAAAGAAAAAAAAACAAACACCAAAAGAGGCACTAATAGGCACATTTGGATTTTTTTAAACAACCTTTGGCTTTATTTAAACCTTATATTTAAGATATAATCATTATTGAAACTATTAGTAGCTGGAAGATTAAATATAAAAGCTTGTTTTTTAATGGTATCTTCACTGGCCATTAGTTTCCGTGCTTTTTCTCAATTGATTTTCAATTAATCAGTTTTGAGTTGTTAAAATTTAACATAGTCAAGTTGTTTTCTTCCTCAAAGAAATAAAAATCACCAAAAGAGGCACTAAAAGCAATATGTGTCTTTTTTTTATTCAAACTCTGGCCTCATTTAACCCTGTAATGCCAAGTGTATCATATTTGATACATACGGTTTCTGAAATGTTTTGCCTCTGACACCTTTTGCATCATTTAATGGTAAAAACTTTGCTCAAAATCCTATTTTACACAATCAGATACACCTGATAACAGGGGGCAGAAGACTACACAAAAAATAATCTGGACTTATCACATAGTAATAAACTATTAATATTAAAATTGTATTTTTGTTTTTTCCTTTTACATATTTTGTTAAAAGGCCAGATAAAGACTTAAAACAAAAAAAAGTAAGTTTCTGTTTTGTTTTATTCTTGGATCAGGCTTTAAAGGGTTAAATATTATACTTCATACATAATAAATTTGTAGCTGGCAGATTAAATAGAAAAGCTCACTTTTTGATGGTATCTTCATTGGCCATTTCTTTCCGTGCTTTTTCTCAATTGATTTTCAATTAATCAGTTTTGAGTCGTTAGAATTTAACATAGTCAAGTTGTTTTCTTCCTCAAAGAAATAATAATCACCAAAAGAGGCACTAAAAGGAATATTTTGGCTTTTTTAAATTCAAGCTCTGGCCTTATCTTAATATTATATTTAATACATAATCATTTTTTAAACTATTAGTAGCTGGCGGATTAAATAGAAAAGCTTGTTTTTTAATGGTATCTTCCCTAGCCATTAGTTTCCCTGCTTTTTCTCAATTTATTTTCAATTAATCAGTTTTGAGTCTTTAAAATTCAACATAATCAAGTTGTTTTATGGCTTTTAATCGCAAAAGCAGTGTCTGACTGTAAAGGGATCTCCATAGTCAAGATTTCTTTTATATTTAATTAATTTAATATATATAAACCTAGTCAGAAATTGGACTCAGTCTCACTACATTTGTATTAAGAATGGTTTATCTATTGTTTTGACTTTTTAGCTTTGCTACCAAGCTTTGTCTTAACTGATGCAAACAATCCTCAAAGTTTTCAATTAAATATATATCTGCAATTAAGTGTTACTTTTTGGAGATTCATAACTTTACCAATAATTGTGTACAACCTTTAAAACTTTAAAACTTTTGTTCGGCAGTTTAACGGAAAATTTCACCTTAAAATGTTTGCTTGTGCCATAGCAGGAACGGTCTTTGACCTGCGATTGAATTAATTAGATTTAAAAAAAGTTTTAAGCTTAGTACATATTTACTTTATTTTCAGAGAGCAAATTTCTATCATTTCTGTCGTAATTGATTTTAATAGTCATTATTTTAGGCTTTTATGGCCATTTCTTAACACTTCACCTTCTCTTTCACAGGGAATAAGGAGCTAAACTCAATGACATCCAGGATTAAATTCCTGTCAGGCCCTCAGTATTATCATTGATGGCACATAAAAAGGCTTTATCCAGGGTTTACCAGAGTCCTCGCATCTAAATTAAGTGAAAACGTTGCTGGAATTGCACGGCTCAAGTTCGAAAATAAAGGAACTGGAACAATGCAACAATCTCTGGCAGCATTCTTGCTTTCTGCCAGTGAATCGGGCTTTAATAAATCACACACTGCTTCTTTCACTGCTTTGTTTGTTGCAAAGTTGGCACAGGGAGAAGCCACAGCGGCTCTCCAACAGAGGGTCCAGAGTGAGTTTGGGAACAGACAAATAGTCTGAATAAAGTAAGACAGAAAAGAACTGAAAAGGAGGAAAATATGATTTCTTACTTTCTCTCTGCCGACTTTTTGAAATGTCATCGATCCATTCGGCCAGCCGCCCATTGGTAAAAAAATACTGAAAAATAAGGCACACTACGGGACAATAGTTCATTTTATTCAAGGCAAAAACGTGGAGCGATTAAACAGCTGCGATATGCTTTGAGTTACGAGCCTTCGTGAAGCCTTCATGCTGAGATTTCACACATCCAAATACAACATGTGTCTTTTTTAGTACACCACATTTTAACAGTGATAGCTGTGCTGTCAGTACCAATATGAAAAACAATACTAGGTCCAAAAAACAAGCTTTGAAGTAAGAATATTATCATAACATTGTGGGTTTTTCCCATTTCGAAACAAGCAACATTAAAAACGTAGTTTTTATTATAAGGCACATGCAGAAAAAAAAGGGAGTAAAATAAATTAATAGCATTTTGGACACCTGATGTCGTGGTGGAGTCCAGTCTCCATTGTCTGAGATTGGCTTTTGTTCATGAACAACTCTCTTAAGTTGTAAATTCCACATGTCTGAACTCATCTGGACCTGTTTGGGTCTCATTGACAAGCATTATTAATGCTCAAAATGAAGGCCCATCTTTACACACAGATGTTTAATCAGTTATACATT